TGATCTTATGAGACCCCCCACACCATGTGTGTAGGATCTCAAAGGATCACCATTAAATTTAGCACAAATCTCTCAAAAAATTATCACATATGTATATATACGAGTAATGATTCTATGAGACCCTTCTACACCCATGTGTGTAGGACCCTAAAAGATCACCATTAAATTTAGCACAGATCTTTAGAAAAGTTATCACTAGAATATGTTGTTTTGATGCCCAAATATCCTCAAATTGATCATCTCGATATCAAGATGCAGGGACATGAGAAAAAAAAAAGGAAGATTTTAACTTTTGAATATAGTTATTTTGTAATGCATTTTTGGACTGTCAATTTTCAAGATTTTCAAGTTTTCATAGATCTCTTAATCTACACTATTTTTTTAGCTTTAAAATTTATAAATAAATATAAAAATATATTTTAAGGCTATCAAAAAGATTTCCAGTATTGAAACCACATTTCTCGTCACTATTTGAAGGTAGACTGTAAATATTAGAACTAAAATTATGTAAATATATTTATTTGAAGGGATTGTCTATAAAGAGACCATTTATTTTTTTGTATGTGGAAGTTACAATCATTCATGTCCTTTAAATTTCAAAATGGTTCTTGTCCATTTATTTTTATGTATGTACGTATGTATGTGTATTATTTAAATATTAGAACTAAAAATATGTAAATATATTTATTTGAAGGGATTGTCTATAAAGAGATAATTTATTTTTCGTATCTGGAGGTTACAATCATTATTGTTCAAAATGGGTGGTTATAAGAGTGTCAATGAATAGACAAAGTCTTAAATTTTTTTTTTCGGACTTTGTAACTCTCTCCAAACCATCCAATTTGATATCTAATTAGTAGGAAAGAATGTGACATCTATATACAAAAGATAAATGGTCTCTTTGTAGACAATCCCTTGTTTAAATATCAATTAAATATTGTTTAAATATTATATATTAAATATTTTTATGTACTAACACTATTCGAGATGGATCCACATGACCCTAGATTCGGATTAGATAGTGTTTAGGTCCAATATTTGGACCTGTACCCGACCCATCGGGTCCAAATCTTGGACCCATACAGGACTCAAGTCGGGCCTGGACGTTGGGTCCCGGATCCATTGCCACCCCTAATATTAGAAGGGCTAGCTTTCTATGCTTCCCCTACATCATAAAACCTATATACTTCCCCTTATCCAACTGTCTATTCTGAATGGAGGGCTAAGATTGCTCCAATCACAATGTCACGTCTTTATACTATTTTATTTTTAATTATTTTTCTATAAACGATTTTGATACCAAATTTTAGACATCTAATCCTCTATTAAATTCGCACTAGATAAAAATATAAAAAAAATATTTTTAATAAAATAAAATGACCAAAATACCTATGAAGGTTTCAAGGGGTATTTTGGTTATTATATTTTATCAAAAAAATATTTTTAATATTTTTATAAGTGTGTCCCAATGAGAATATGACATGTACCAAATTTCATATTCATACAATTAGTATATATAAAAAAAAAACTAAAAATAAAATACTTTGAGACGTTATATCTAAGATCAAATGGTGAATGACTCTTTTGTTCAAAATTGGACGATTGGATGATAAGGGAAGCATATATCTTCTACGCTGTGGAAAACTATAGAAACCTTTTCCATATTAGAAAGACGGAAAAAAAAGAGAGAAAGGACCGACCGGAGTATAAAATAGTCATTTTGGATGGAAAAAAAAGGGTTACTTTGTGGGGACTTTCTCACTCGGCGGATACTCGCAAGAATCGCTACCCCATCACCCTATTTTTCAATGCTTCAAAGTTCAAACGCTTTTTACGCGCTTAATCGAACACCATTCTACACCAATCTTCTCAGAGGTCTATTTTACTCCACATTCCACACACGTCCACTTCGCTGTCTATTATACACTTTTCACATTCAGCTCTTTCTCTCTCTAAAGTCTATTCTACATTATTCACATTCACCTCTCTCTCTCTAAAGTTATTCTACACTATTCACATTCACCTCTGTCGAAAAATGTAGTTTCAATATTGAAAATCACTGTGATAGCCTTAAAATATATTTTGATATTTATTTATAAAATTTAAAGCTTTAAAAATAATGTAAATTGTTAGATCTATTAAAACTTGAAAATATTGAAACTTGATAATAAAAAAATACATTACAAAATACACTATTTTCAAAACCTGTAATCCATTTTTTTTTCTCATGTCCATATATCTTGATGTCAAAATGATCAATTTAAAGATATTTGGGCGTTAAAACAACTTTTTATAGTAAAATTTTTGAAGTAGGCTTAAATTTGATTATTTAGAGCCTCGGCTCTATTAAACTTTTCCCTTTATGTATTTTCCGCTTTCTCTACTAGAGTCCCTTTTTTAGAAATGGGTTAGGGTTTGACGGTAGCACCAATAAGCCCTATGACGTAGTATGTGACTCCATTATGACAATAGAGGCCTAAATCGCCACCGATTATACTTACGTTTTTTTTTCTTTTTATCTTTTTTTTTAACCGGAGTCCCTTTCAAAGGGAATTGGGCTGTATTTGCTGTTCTAGAGTCTCTCTCTCTTTCTCTATAAAGCTATTCATTCGATTTACATCATCCTAACACACAATTATTGCTCTAACCAGTCCGTTACATTGAAACTGGCTCTATGTACGTCTCTCTCTCATCTCTCTCTTCCTCTCTCTCTCTCTAACCAGTCCCTTAGAAGGGTACTGGCTCAATCTACGTTCCCTGATTCATTCTTGATCAGATAGTCAAGAGTTGTTCGAGAAGCCTATTTATTTGAAATCGCATTAAAACTCCTCAGTTTTCTCAGTTCCACACACCTCGTAAAGTTTCAGAAACGTTTACATACAAAAGGAAAGTTGAAAAGAAGAAGATCATCTTGTTAAATCCATGAGCCTAAAATCATCGGTTTCTCTTCATTGTAGTGGAGCTTGATTATATAATTCAAGGGAAAAACAAGAGTTTCATAATAAGGGATAGGTTTCAAAATGCAAGGTGGTATTCCCATTGGGTACCGGTTTTACCCTACTGAAGAAGAGCTGTTGAGTTTCTACTTGAAGAACAAGCTCGATGGTAACAGAGAAGCCGAAATCCATCGATTTATACCATTGGTTGACATCTACTCTTATGATCCATGGCAATTGCCAGGTAAGAATGAACACTAGTTTTTACTTATTTCACTTTCATTCTTAACTTTTCCTTTTGTGTTAATCTTTTATAGGAATCTATTAAAAGTGTGTGTCTGAGAGAGAGAGTCATTATGCTATATAAAACTTTATATTTGTTATATTTGGTGCACAAAGGTTTAGGGATAGAGTGCCCATCCCGAGAAGTTGGTTTTGTTATGAGAAGCATGAGATCACCATTAGTGCAACGATGATCTTAATAATGGTTTTGTTATGAGAAGCATGAGATCACCATTAGTGCAACTTCATCGTATTGATTTTTCTCGGTGGCTTAGCCATAGACCAGGCAGTCTCGATGTTTTAGATATTGGACCTCTCACTGGACTGAACCCAGTGGCTAGTCTGGTTTCTATATCATCGGACTTCTGGCATGCCCCCTAAGTGCCACAAACATGGCAGTCGGATGAACATCAGACCGAGAGCCCGATGTACAAGATACCGCATTATGACGGTGCCACGGCATACACCACATTTAAAGGAAATACAAAAAATAAAAATGAAGAAACCGGTTCAAGGCTACAAACATCAGGCTAAAGAAAAAAGTTAAAAATAAAATAAAATAATAATAATAATATCAGGAAGAAGAGGGGGACCAGAGAATAAATACTACCAGGAATGTTTTGCGGTCCGTACGTAATTTTCCACGGCACAAAAAACCAATTCCCTCTATTTCTTTATGTTCCAAAAATTAGTCGGAAACTTCCGCGGAAATTTTGCTTATTTTCAACTTTGAAGCTTAATCTCCAAGCAATCAACAAAAGAGAGAACAAAGAATCTCGAAACAATATAAAGCCAAATTTCTGTTTCGCGAAATTTCCATAAATTGAGGTTGTGTATTATAATCTCTTAAAAATGTGTTGTGAAATGAAATGGGGTTGTGTATGGTTGCAGCGATGGCGGGAGAGGCCAACATTGGAGACGGGGAGCAGTGGTTCTTCTTTGTACAGATGCAGAAGCGAGAAAAACAAGGAGGGAGGCCTAACCGGATAGCGCCTTCTGGTTACTGGAAGGCGACCGGGACTCCCGGTTACGTGTATTCGTCAAATAACGGAGTGATAGGTTTGAGAAAGAGCCTGGTGTTTTACACGGGGAGAGCACCATATGGAAGGAAGACGAAGTGGAAGATGAACGAATACAAGCTGAGGATTGTGGAGACTAACGGTGATGATGTTGCCTCTTCTTCTTCTTCTCATGGTGTAACAACTTTTGAGGTAATGTCATCATCTTTGGATTGTTTTTTTCTTTTTGTAGAAGTTTATTTAAGGTTGATACCTTAAATTGTAGAATTAAAGTGAACTTAAAAAATCCACTGAAAAAGGTTATTTTGAGATTGAAAAACCATCTAATTAATCATCTCGACATCGAGATGTATGAGTACGGAAGAAAAGAAGAAGATTTTAAGTCTAAAAAACAGCACATCTTGCAACACATTATTTAAGCTATCTATTTTCAAAATTCGCATGAATTTATGATTTGTTTGATTTCAACCTTTTTTTAGAGTTCCAAATTTTATAATTAAAGATAAAAATATATTATCGGGCAATTGTAAGAGTTTTTGGCACGAAAATCACATCTTATAACAAAGTCTAGAGGTGCATCTTACGTTTTTATTTTTTTTGGGTAATTTAATAGGGAATGCAGGCCCCTACCTGTTTTTTTAAAGGGTTAAATTTTCGAAGCTGTCAGTAGGGTTGGAGAGCACAATATAGGACTAAGGTATGAGAGGTAGGTTGCAATCTTACATAAACCACACCTTTTTTGTTTTGAGAGTAATTTATCTTTTTTCTCTCATGGATGGTTCTCTCATGGGGGAGGGAGAGAGAGATTTTCCCTCGCTTCATAGAGAGAAAAGAGGGGGGTTCTCACTTTTAGAGAGAGGGTAGACAGACAATAAATGTGCTCTCTCTCTCTAAAGTGCGGGAAGGGGATGAGAGAGAAACTATCAACAAGGGGCCGTGTTCGCTCTCTATCTAAAGATTACAAGGCCATGGAGGGAGGGAAAGCGACTCTGAATCATTCCTCTCTCTAAAAATACAGAGGGAAAAGGAACCATCAAAAACGAGGGTTGTGTCCTCTCTCTCTTGCTACATATTCTTCCTTTCTATGGAAAGCGTGTTTGTGATGTGACTCTCGAAGTGAAAAGAGAAAGGAACAAAGAGACTTCAAGAATTCTCTCTCTCTTCTCTGAGGAAATTCCATGTCTCCTTTTATGAGGAAAGAGAAGGGAAGGTTCGCCTTTTTGTTTTCTTCCCTGTTTTGGTTTTTGTTTTTTTAGTAATCAAAGAGGAAAGGGTACCCTGCAACATTGCAAGGAAAGTAACTATTTAGATTTGATGGTGTAAATAAGTTTTTACCCGAGGATATAAATCTACAAAGTGCTCCAACATGAGCACATTTTAATACCATTTCTAGGTAGCTTCTGGGAAATTTAATAACAAAATTATGCACGGGTAAAGCCTCTAGGTGGCTTTGCAGGGCACAAATAATTCCCAAATTGAGTAGTTTCCAAGTGTCAACTTTTTTGAAGCCAATGGTAGATTATAAGATTTAAAATGTTTGTGCCTTTTTTTGGTTAGAAGTTGCAATAATAGAGGGAAAGAAATATAGTGTTATTTTAAGGACGGGTAAGGTTTGTGTAAGGCTCCCTCCTTATGCTGTAGAAGTAAAACACCACCTCTATAATTCACTTCGAGATATAGTTTCGAGGTTGGAAGCTTAAGGCACACCTCTATAATTTACTTCGAGACATAGTTCCAGGGTTGGAAAACTTGTTAAGGCTTTTAAAATTTATTTGTTTTTCTAGTTTTTAAATTTAAATTGGTATAGATTGAGCAGTTCTATAAACACTTTAAAATCTTAAAAATAGACGGTTTAGATAACTTGTTACAAAAAGCATCTTTTGAGAATTCGAAAATATTTTTTTCTTCATATCCACATATCTCAAGGTTGATAAGATCGATTGGAGGCTTCTCCAACGAAATCTCTTTCGATTTTTTTATATGCACCTTACTTCAATAATAAAATAATATAAGTTTGCAACATTATATAAACATTTTCCTTTAAAGAAATGGAAGCTAAGGTAGTGCATGCTCTTGTGGGAGCAAAATGTACATTTATTTCCTCAGGTCAACCTTAACGATGTTGGAAGTCCATATTTGGAAGAGATAACCTCCTCAACCCAAGTGACTAACTTTATACCAAAAAAATAATAATCAAAATTCACTTAGATCCAATAATCTTGGTCCATGGATAAGGTCTTAGTTCCTAGTTCTATGAGTTTTGAGTTTGCAAGAACATACTATTTTTATTTATTTTTTCTCTATTTCGTTTTGTAAATTTCTTCAGTTATTGTCATTTGCAGGTTCTGCGTGAGATGAGCCTGTGTCGTATTTATGTGAAATCAGGAGTCCTAAGACAATTTGATCGAAGGCCCCCAGTTATACCAGGTATTCAAGAACCAGGTCCTGGTCCAAGTTCAAGTGCACGGACTGAAAACCCTAACCAACAACCCACTTATGAAATGAGTGATGACAATGTCTCCGAGGGGTTGAATCTCGACAATCGGGATGAGGTGGCGACTTGGGATCCAATGGCTGATGATTTTGCATATTGGGAGATGTTGGACAACGAAATCGTCAATTTGGAGTCATGGAATTCCATATAAAATCTAATCTTGTGGATTGTCAAAGTATAATTCAAAATAACTCACAATTGCAGTAGGTTTACACATTCTTAGGAGTGCATGAGAAATTTACAGATCTAGGGTGGAAAGTTCATACCTGGAGAATTTCATTGTCAAGTGAACGAATTCTTTTTAACTGTAAGCCATACAAACCATAGGGATCACCTTTTAATTATTTTTTTTCCCCATTTGGGTAGTCCAACATTCATTTTACTTTTTGGGGGTGGAAGAAAGGTCAGTGTGGTTAGAGTTATTTTGATGTCAGATGATTCATGAAGGCTCATAATACAAGCGCATCTCAAGTCTTGAGTTTGGATATAGAGATATTGCAATTTTACATTGAAATAAGGGATTGCATACAGTGACCGTTTACTTTGGTGTATGGAGGTCACAATTACTTGCAACCATCTGATTTTAAATCAGATAGCTTGGGTGTGTTACAAAATTCAAGAAACTTTATGTGAACTTTGAGCTTGGTCAATAAAATAAATGCAGCCACCCAATTTCACATCCAATCGTTAAGATTAATTGTGACCACTTTCTACAATAGGCAAATGGTCTCTATATGTACTTTCTCTTGAAATAAACTTATCTTTCAGTAGGAAAATGCTATTGACACACACATGGCTTGAGGTGCAATAGGTTGGGTGGCCGAATCCACTTGGATTGCTAGGACCTAAAAAATAAGGGTCTTGGTTATAAGATGTCGCTAGGGCCGGGCCACCATGGCTTAGGGGTAAGGCAAAGCCTAGTCTGGCTAGGTCCATGATAGGGCCAACCCTGCTCATCCCTGCTTGGCCCTTTTTCTCTTATTCTTTTTCTCTCTATTTTCTTTGGATTATGTTTGGCTTGACAGGGCCTAGGCCTCCTTGGCTTGATCAGGGTTGGGCTAGGGACAAGACTGGCCCAGTGCATGCCTAGTTGGGTTAGGGCCAACCTTGTAGACATGAGAGATGGGCTAGGGCCAACCCTGTAAACATGAGAGATGGGCTAGGGCCAAGCAGGCATAGGGCATGCATAGCCTGTTGCCAGTTGACATATCATTTGATTGTAATGTAGTATTTCATACATTTATAAATAGTTTAGGGGTTAGAGCTTCATCATTATCATCATCATATGAGCTTTTTTCTAAGCTATTTGGAGTTGGCAATACAATTCTTGGTCTTCCATTCTACTTCATCAAGTGCCATACTCTCAGTAAGGTCATAATACCTCATGTATTTTTTTAGTAGTCCCAATTATGCCCTTTAGAGCCTACTTCTTGCATTTTTTTAGTCTTTCACTTGTACCAACTTGTATCTCCTAACAGGTGTTGTACTGGGTTTGCATTTCATATGGCCAACCCACCTAAATCTATTTTATCTCTTCTTATCGTTTATTGGTGCCACACCTAAATTTTTTCAAATGTATTCATTTCAAATGCTATCTTTTCTTGTCTTGCGACTCATTCATTTTAACATCTTCAAGGGGGTACACCATGGGTCTTTTAGGCCTGAGTGCTATATTTGTTAGAGAGTGACCGTCATTTGAAATATTATATTGGGCTTTAGTAATTCTTTTATTCTTTACCCTTAAGGGAAAATCTGTCCATTGTATCTATAAATAGGGAAATGATCTTGTGAAACCCTCCCACACCCATGTGTGTAGGACTTCAAATGATCACCATTAAATTTTGCTTATCAAATTTAATGGTGATCTTTTGAGGCCTTACACATATAGGTGTGAGGGGGTCTCATAGGATCATTACTCATATAAAGATGTGTGAAATGAATCGGTGTGTGTTCTCTTCAATTTCTTTCTCTAGGCTTTCATAAGTTTAACAATATTGCTATCTTAATTGAGCGTTTTCCCTTACCTGGACCCATAAATAAATTGACATACTCGTGGTTGCACGCATAGATAAACTCATTTTGGCAAGCGACCATTTCATAATATTAATTTATGTGGGTTTGCTGTTGCAGCAAACTTGCAAGGCCACTAATACCGAAAGTCTGCCTGCATACACGTCCGCGCTTGCATGGACCGATCTCTGCCAATAACTTGATGCCATGTGGACGTGTTTGCAGGCACATCTTCCTGTATACAAAGTGTATCTCATGAATATGCATCTTGCTTTCGTGAATAAATGCATCTTGGTCGTCCACCAGTGTTTTATATTCGTGTGCATGAGTCTCTCTCTAACATAAATTTAACCTTTTTTAAATTCATGTGCATGAATCTCTTTCTCTTGACAAATTGCAAAAATTACAAAACTCCTCAAAAAAAAAAAAAAGGGTTTTTAGACAACCTGCCCCTAACAAAATTTTTTTTTTAATAACTTTTACTTCAAAGTAAATTTCTGTAGCAAATACGTCCAAGTCAAAAAAGTCATATTTTTTTGACGAAAATGCCCATAGTTTTGGACCGCCCTCATTTTGTACTGGACCGCACGCCCAAAAATCCAGACCGCCCCAATTTTGTGCCGGACTGCGTGCTTTCTAGAAGCAAAGTGCAGGACCGCCAGCATTTTGTGCCGGACCACATGCCTAAAGTGCCATACCACCCTTATTTTGTGTCGGACCGCATGCTTTCCAGTAGCAAAGTGCCGGACCGCCCCCATTTTGTGCTAGACCGCATGCTTTCTAGAAGGTATTTCGGTCTTCATTTTACCTTTTTTATGACTTGGAGGTATTTGTTAGGAAATTTAAATTTGGGGTAAAAATTGTTAAAAAAACTTAGTTGAGGGAAGTTGTCTAGAAGATTTTGTGGGGTTTTTGTAATATCCCCAACATTTTATTCATTCATGAATTGCAATATGAAGAATAGCAGTATTAAGATACATAGGAACTCCCTCTCCCTCTCCCACTCCCACTCCCCTCTCTACACATGTCTTTCACTTCTTGATGCATTATTATTTTTTAATGGGTTGTCTTTTTTTTTTAAGAATTGGGTGGTTGTGGCGTGAGTTTTTTTGTGGTTAGGGGATTGGATTTTAGGATAATCTAGGCTTAATTGGTTTTAAAGAGATAATTTAAGAGTGGTTGGAGTTTTTAGAAATGGCCTTACTTGAAGAAGTCCTACTTTTGTGGACTTAAAATTTAGGAAATATGCAGGCTCATGGATAGATTCTTGTGAGAGAAAATAGAGAGATAGAGATAATGTGGACGAGAGATTTGGTCATTTAGCAAAGAGTTGATATTGTGAAAAAAATCTATTGGGGTGGATTTTGTTTTGGTACAGGTTTTTTCAAGTAGATTGGGAATTAGATTTTTTTTGACGGTGTTAGTGGGGTGGTGTTATTTTTTTTTGAAGGTGTTAGTGGGGTGGTGTTATTGATGGGAATGGAAACCACAATGTGGTGACTAGACCGTGGGGTGTTACCACCACGACCTCAGCCCCATTCTCGGGGTGTATTTTTTTGCATGAGATGATATATTCTCTCACCCTTTATTTTTATTTTTATTTTTTCTCTCGATCTTCCCTGCATTATTTTTGCATGCGGGCTTGCGTATGGAATAATGTCCACCTGGGCTCGTCGAACAAATATGATCGCGTTTGAATAATACTTTTTATAAATTCAATTGACTGAACTGCAGAGAACCGGCCAATTCTAAATATTGTGAAGGAACTAGGTCAGTCCTCTAGTTCTAATTTTAGATCGGCCGGTTCCAATCCAGGTCACTGTGTTTTCAAACCCTGGTGGTAAACTTCAGCTTTACGTTTCCCATTAGACGTGCATAGGAGACCACTTGGGTATAAGAGGCAGCAAAGGGTCAAGTATGCAGTCATGCTCCCCTTAAACCCAAGTCGTTCAGGTGCGGTTGTCGAGAACATGTTTTTCTACGAAGTACAAGACCACTTTTCATGCATTCATCGTGGGTGTCACAAGACCAAGACAAGAAACTTAAGAGCGAATGAAAAAATTGAAATCCTACGAGATGATAACTAATTTTGAAATAGATTTTTCTTGAACCCCAGTAGTTTTTAATTATGAGCATCATTTCTTCCTTGACTTCTATAAATTTAGCAATTTTTAAATTTTTATAAAATAATTGGCCAAGTTACTTTTATAACTATGTCAAATAGGAGCCATTTTACTCAACATGATGACAAAAGTGTGGCAACGGGTTGGGTACGGGTCGGGTCGGGTCTGGTTCGGATGGGCTTGGACTCGGACCCAAACAGCTTCCAGGTCCAAAATTTGGACCGGTATCCAAATCCGTTGCAGCCCAAGTCCAGCTATCGGGTCCCCGGGTCTGGTTGGATCCATCGCGACCCTATAACTATGATTTTTTTTTTTTGCTAATAGTTCTATAAATGTTGTCAATATTGTGACAATATGAACACCTAGAGTGTATCTAAAGATACATGATTGTCATCATATACCTTATGACTACGGGTACGGGTCGAGTTCGGCTAGACGCGGCCCTGACCCGAATAGTTTTGGACACAAAATTTGTGCCATACCCAGATTTGAGGTCGCGTATATCCATCAGGTCCCGGGTCTAATCGGGTCCATTGCGACCTCTAATCACAAGTCATAATCAATAAGATTGACCTATTCCAAAAAGTGGTTCTTTTCATGTAGAGTAAGTCTTTTATTTTTTAGGTAAATGGAAGTATGCTCCACAAAAGAGACTTTTGCAAAGCTTTTTAAGTCATGGAGTGCTTGGAAACAAAAGAATAGTTGGGAAATTCCATGTGCTCACCAACCACAAAGAAAAACGTTTTGATTGATTTCTTGGAATTTTTGGTATTTGAGGCGTTGGTCTCAAGACTCAAGACGACTGCGACCCTATTAAGGTCGCGTTTGCGGCCGCGCCTCTTTTTTTTTTATTTAAATAATTAATTTACATGTGGCATATTTAAAAATACCGTTTATATAAGGGTGATGCTCTAAATAATCAAATTAAGGCGCACTTCAAAATTTTTCTAAAAGAAGTTGTTTCGATGCCTAAAAAAACCTCAAGTCGATAATCTCGACTCAATATATATGAACATGA